TCTTCCAAGGACATCATGAACTAAAAGTTCTGATCAAGTGCCATGTATTCATTCCCTATCAAAGACAAGGTCCCTTGAAATGGTATGTTTGAGAAAATGATATGTGACATTACTAAACTTTACCCAACTGAAATACCTTCTTACAATTAACCATCAGATTTGAGAAATGTAATTTTTATTTAATCATGCAGGATTTAATCAAAATTTCTTGGTAACCTGTTAAGAAAGCTAAATGTGTGGAAGATTCAAATTACATTAAATGTGATTTTGATTATTCAATACAGACTGAAACAGAAGACAGCTGGTTTGTTTAAGAGATTCCCAAGTTTCAGCTGAGATGTAGTTTAGGGTAGCTCACTGGAAATGATAACTGATTGCATGGTAATGGCTCCCATACTTGATCTACCCATTAAATCACAGAACAGGACAGCTCAAATAGTGTCCTACTGATCTTTGTATTGACTGCTTGGCATCCCTTGAAAAAGTTTCAGGCATACAAAATATACACTAACCCATGACTATGTCAAGCCTGTTAATTAGCAGGACAACTAATTGTACACGGAATGGAGTCTTTGAATTGTAAAAAATGAGAAAATGTTAAACCAAAAAATATACAGGAGGACTACCTCTATCCTCCTGTAAAGCTACCTCCTTTACAGTAATCTTTATTCTTTAAGAGCTGTATATGTTTCATACCTTTCATTGTTGGCAGGTGTATATGCACTAGCTTAAAATGGCTTAATTTGTTCAGCTGTGGTAATTAACACAGGGTCCAGAATGGATCTGGACCAATCACTCACCTAACTCAAAATCCAGATGCACAAAACTTGTGCTACAGAGGAATGGGGATGACAGGTAAATCATGGAATATAAATATGGACAATACATCTTGAAAGCTACAGTTACTGCTAAAGCCATATCATGACTTGTACTTTGATTTATTCTTTATTTTTTTCACTGGCAGTAATTCCCAGTCATAATACACGGCAAAAAGGTAGTATGTTAGAAAAAAAGAAAGAGAAAAAGAGAAAGATGAAAGAGAAAAAGGTAAATGTCTGTTCAAGCCTAGCTAGTTGGTGTAATTAACTCATGCCAATTTGTGTAGTGAATGCCACACAAAGGAGTGATTTCACTAGCAACCTGTCAAGCTGCCTTTGATGCCTCAGCCCAAATCAGGTACTTAGGTAAACTAGGTAGAGAGGGGGTGATCTTTGGCACAAACCCAAAAGAAAGCTTAAACTCAACCCCAGGTCCATAGTAATAGTGTTTCAGAAATCAAAATGAAACAAATGATTTTCACATGGGGACAAATGTGACAGGAAAGCTGAGGGGTTTTTAGATACTCTTCCTGTGCTCATAATTTAAAACCATTAAAGTCATGTACAAAACACAATTTTTAAGTGATGGAGATTTATGTTCAAATATAACAACATAAATCAACCCTGCAGTAACTTCTAGGCAAAATAAAAATAGTTTGTTTACAAAAGGATGAAAAAAAAATCCATCAAAAAGCTAAGCAATCATAAACATTATCCTTCTCATCACCTGCATGTGTTGAAACAAATGGCAAAACCTGATAGTGGCCAGAGTACAGAATCAAAGTCAGGACTTGTAGTTCCAGGCTCAGCTCTGCCGGTTATTTTGGGCAACATCACTTTGGATTCTCAGCTTGTTTTGGTTAGTTTGTTTGTAAAGAAGCAATGTGAATACCAACCTTAAGAACCACACTGCTGCTGCTACACAGTCAAAATCCACAGATTAAAAATACTCAGTACAAATATAAGCATTCCACGAAGCTTGCAGTATCTATATTCTCTACCCTGGGAGTGCTTAGTCAGTCCGTCTGACTAGAATGGAAACTAATCTAATACGTCAAAAGGGCCCCGATGTTTACTGTTGTATTCAAAGGAATTTGCTCAGAATTTCTCCAATTTAAAGAAAACAGTAGTTCAGTGGTTTTCATCAAGCAATACTACATATATAAAACAAATCTTCACCTATCCTTCCACAGGACAGCTAAATTATACTGATATTCATGCTCTTTCTCCCTGTCCTGATAATTCATTTCTGCCAGACAGAACGAACGTAGGAGGTAGCAAAAGAATTTCCTACTTATAAGGGAGGATTTAAGGGCTGTCAGCTTAAAAAAGACCCCAGAAGAAAATAATAAAAAGTTCTGAACTGATAAAGTCCTTATTCTAAAGCTGTCTGTATGACAGCTTAAGTGAACATTGAGGTGTAAACTGTAATAACCAACAGAAAATGAGTTAGCTTTGGCAAAGGACAACAAGTTCTTTCAACAGACTAATGGCACTTCAGCCCCAAACACTTCCCTCCCAAATTATGTATGAAACAGACATTACCCATACCAAAATAATCAATTACATTCTACAGTTTGTGAAAACACAACGTAGATTTGGGAATTTCTATGTGTGACTATATGCAAATTCCTGAATACAGGAATTATCTTTCCATTATTTCCACCTTACCGAGTGACACTGGGTAATACCTGCCTAGAATTTTTTCTCTGTTTCCTGACACTGGATACTTCTGATTCTGAAAATGATATTTGCGGCTCAGTAAAAAATGTGCTCCAGCTCCAAGACTCTCAAACTTACTGTGAGGTGCAGATTGCCAAAGAGCTTCTCTATGACATTATATTATTTAGATTGCTTGTTTCTGGAAAAGAAAAGCATGCTTTGTGCTGATCACTCATCAGTCATTATCCTTTACACCACAAAAACTTAAAGAGGAAAGCAAGTTTATTCCAGCAAAGTGAAAGATCCAGTTATTGATTGTGAAGTTGGAAAAAGAGTTACAAAACAAAGAGTAAAACCAGAATACAAATATACCTGAGACTGTTTTTTTCTCACAGGATTTTGCTGCATGTCTCTTGGCTATGGAAACGAAGGGACAAACTCAACAGTAATCAATTTTTTAGAGAAATCCAGTTTACTTCAGAAGTAAGCTAGATTAAAGCATAAAGTAAGAACTCTGAAGCTTCCATTATTAAGTTTTTTAATTTTAATTTTTACCACTTCAGAAAAAAAAAAAAAAAAAAAAGACAGAATACTAAATCAAGCTCCTTCGCCAACCTAAAAACCTCAGCAACAAAAAAGAAAAAAATCTGCCACCTCTCCTACCTTCAGAAAGCCACCAAACAAGACTGGACTCAAGATTGATTTATATTTTAAAATGCTTTACTTCAGAAGTAAACTGGATTAAACTGGAGTAAACTCCAACTTATATCCCGGGTTATTGGTTCATATATTTTTAGTGAGAAGAGGAAGGAGAAGAGGTGAGAAGGAGGTTGCTGCTGAATGCAAAGAATTGCTTCCTTCTCAGCTCCTTGAGGAATCACTGTGCTATGGGTTATCTGCTTGACCTCTGTGAGAAAGATATTGCAACACCTGTGAAATTACCCATCCATCTTCTTTGCATACTGAAGGAGACCACAGCACTTCCTCTCCTGTATTGGTTAAGGTTCTCCC